GCTGGAAAGATCTGAAGGTACAAAACCTTATGCAAGTCAACAAGTCATCTTCAACAGGACTTGGGTGTCTGGCTGGAGTGGGCACAAGGGCTTCTTCTTTTAGGAACCATTGCCCAGAGCAGCTGTGGCTACCCCATCCCTGAAGTGTCCAAGGCCAGGTTGGACGGGGCTTGGAGCAACCTGGGCTAGTGGAAGGTGTCCCTGCCCATGGCAGGGTGGGACTGGGTGGGCTTTGAGATCCATTCCAACCCAAACCAGTCTGGGATTGTAAGGGAAAATAAGAGCATGAGGGAATGACTGTGACCATTTAATGTTAAAATATGCAAGTCTGTTCTATGTGTTATCGACAGAGACATTTTTGTTATATCAAAAAGCAGCAAACCAGCCCTTTGATAGGAACTGGAACCACAAGAGCAGTAACAGAATTTCAGAGCAGAAGTGAGCTTGAAGGAAGACTCAGAGATGTGTTTGTAAGGAGAACAGAGGAACTGCCATCAGTAAAGAGGCACAGATGTGAGCATTTGAACTGACAAACTCACTCCAAATTTGCAGTACTGATCAAAGGGTTGACATGGAAAAACATCTCTGAATTTCTTTTCCCCTGTAAATTAGCAAGCATCCCTCATTCGGTTGTACTTGATTGTTTGTGGGAAATGCCCTTTATAGCAAATAGGAAGAACACAATAAAGCTGCAAGAATAACACTGCCTGTCATCTCTTACCTTCCCCAAGGCTGTCAAAAATGGAAGTGTTTAGCATACACAGACTATTGGAGCATATTAAAACTCTGAATTGCAGTTCATCTACAGACCTTGCTCTTTAAAGAGGCAGCTGAGAGCCCCTTGCACTTTGGGCAAAGCCTCCAGGAGCATATTGAAACAAACCTCTACACCACCCTTTCGGAATTCCATCTGCTCCAACTCAGGTCACAAAAGAACCTTCTTATTTTCCTTGTGCCTAGAGAGAGTTCAGCACAGGGTCAAAGGAGAAATGGTTAGAAATATTAAAAATGGAGAGGAAATAAAAAAGGAAAAAAAATCTCAGGATAGCAGATCCTGGAAATACTGAAGTTTAAAGCCTGAGAATTGGCAAGTGGCCAAGGAACATAGTGCAGAGAGACATGGGGATTGCAAGGAATTGGCAGGCAGACAGCATGGGAGATGCCAAATGAGAGCTCTCAAAGAGTGAAATGAGTCACAACTTAAAGAAGGAGATCTGAGAAAGAAAATCCAGCACAAGGGAGAGGGAGAGAAAGGAGACATGATCCAGGACCTGCAGCTTCAAAATGTTGGACAGAAATAACTGAAAAACCCAATTCTCCAGATTCAACCTGGGGTGTGACAGAGAAAGGCAACAGCCCAGGTGATGGGGCACACAGAGAAAGCACTTGCAGGGAACCGGGATAAAGCCATAGTCCAGAAAAGCAGTGGAATGTAAGTCCGGAATCGCTCCCGGGCGGGGAGCTGCAGGTTTCTGTGAGCATTTCTCTCCCTTATCTCCAGGCTTTGCTATGCAAAGTGAGCCAGGACTGCCGCGATGCTGCTGCAGGGAGGAGCAAATTTAACAGGAACTCATTCCTTTGTAAAAGTCTCTTGGCTTCCCTGGAGATTTCAGACAAACCTGCAAGTTTAGGGTACATATGAAAGTTGTGCTGCACTCTCGGCTAGTCACGGCTTTGTCTCTACCTGCTTGCCGCGGTAAGGAATAAAGCCTTGCCTGCTGAGAAAGGGCAGAGTCCTTGTTTCAAGAGAGATTTAAATATAAAAGGATGTGCCACTTGTTTTGCAATCTGCAGCATCTGCTCTTTAGCTCTGACCTGGGCACACAGGCAGCACACAGTGCTCTCTGCTGTCAGCTCATCCGAAATCTGGAGCAACTGCTGGTGAACTCTCCTTCCCTCTTTTGGGCTCCGGCCTCTGATCAGTAAGCTGAAGTTGCTAAACAAGGATACATGCTGAATCTTTACCCCGAAACAATGTATGCACTCTCCTTATTATTTATGCCTACTAATCCTGGTTTAGCACAGTTAACACAAGCAGTTGTAGTCTCAGATCCAGGTGCAGGCACACATGTCCGACACAAACCACTCAGTTATAATTCCAGCAGCTTCACTACCTTCTCCCTTCACAGCCATTTTCCCTTTTGGTAGAAAGGTGTTTTCTTACCACCACCGTCTTCCATACAAGTGCACTTTGAATCCCTCTCTAAGAAGAGATTAGGGTCGATGAGAGCGGTGGGGGGGTGTGGAGGAGGCGGGTGGGGGCTCTGGGCTCCCAAAGCTCTCACCTCGCTGAGCTCACGGCCCATGGGACAGAGCAGGGACAGCCAGACCCAGTGGGTGGGTGTGACACCGCTCAGACTTTCCAGAGGTGACACCTTAGAGCTACTGAGGACCAGGAGCACCTGAGCAGGGAGCTCTGCCCCCACCCCAACTGCTCAGTGCCAGTGCCACAGCGGAGCACAAAAGGGGTTTAACCAGCTGTGGGGTCCAGCACATTCACCTGAGCCTCGGGACCTGTCCAGCCTTAAAACTGATCCACCCCCAGTTTCTGGCAATGTCCAGAGTCATTTCCCCACTGGTGTGCTTTTGTTAAGTACTACAGAGCAGTACCATGGAACTTGCCCCAAACCCAAACCAAAGTGATCCTGTGCCATATGATGGGCTGGTGAGCTGGGATGGATTTGGGACATCCAGCACCAAACACCTCAGCGGGAGGGAAGCACAGGGCCCTCCAGCTTTGGGAATGGCAAAACCTCAGGGATTTTTATTGCTTTTGCTGAAAATTAAATAAAGGCAGCAAAGCTCTTAAAAGAACAGAAAGCTCATGGCAGAGTGTGGCCTCACATGTTTATCCCGTGTCTCCAGAAGTACTCGGAGCATTTGCCATGTGGAAAAGCAAGCCAAGCAGCTATTTTTAAACTCCTTTTATTCAACACATATGGGATGAATTCTGTTAGAAATAGCGACCTTCTGATGTAGTTATTGCAATTGCCACTAGACAGAGCTGTTCATCTGATTTCTAACCTCAGCAGTATTTATAATCCCAGTGATGTGCTAGAAATCCAGGAGGAGTTTGTATTACAGACTCCTTCAGAAAAGTGGCACATGCCTGTAACAACTGCCTGGCGTGAGCAGCCAGGGTGTAGCTCTTGCAGGACACTATAAATAATCTCCTCACTGGAGCTGAGGGCAGCATCTGCCTCCCATGAATTCCCTGGTCCCTCACCAAGAGCGAGTGATAAAGAGATGACAGATGAGAAAAAAACCTGTTTTTTCTTAGTTAAACTGCAGTGTATGTGTTGGACTTGGAAATAAGGAATACATCTGGAGATCTAAAAGTGCTGTGGCAAATCCCTGACTGTGGAGTTACTGTCAAACACATTTTGCCAGAATTTGGGAAAGGTGCAAACAACGGTGCTTTGGAAAACAGAGAAGTTTTCCTTCCGGGCAGGGAACGTGCATTCAGACAGTCAGTAAGGGAGTGCCAGAGGACTGGACTCAGTGATTAGGACAGTGCAGGTTGTTAAGACACAATATTGCAGTTAATCACCAGGCAATGCTCCATCTGACCCTGGTTGCTGCAGCACTGCTGGGGCCTCCTGCCCAGTCCCTCCCACCAGGTAATGCAGAAATCACCCTGCAAATTAAGTGCTTGGGGACATCCATGGGGTTGTGCCAGTTGGTAGCATCCAATTATCTGCTCTTTTCTGAGAAATTGAGGGTAAACCACATTTTCTTTAAAGACAAGCAAGCCTTCCTTTTGTGAGGAAGCAGAGAGAGATCAGCATCAGTGCTGGTTCTCCCAGGCTCACACCCTGATTTGCATCACGGGCAACGTGGAGCAGGAATTTCTGGAATTTCTGCAGCTGTATCTGCAGCACTGATTTCACCTGGTGATTGGAGTGAAGCGGCTGTGAAGGCCCAGGCAGCTCCAGGCCAGATTCCCCCCCCAGAGCAGGGCTGTGAGTGTTTCCCAGGGGGTCAGTCGTGTCCCTGCTGCTCTCGGGTGTGGGGGTTCAGGTGCTGTGTCAGGCTCAGTGAGTGCTGAGGCAGGAACTGCCCCTGTGGGCAGGGACCCTCTCAGGATGTGCAAGGGCCCCAGAAGGACTTAGCATCATGCCTCAGCACCTTAATTAATACCTTTGTTACTTCAGAACACACCTGTAAAACCTTTGGCTCTTTTTCTCACTCCCTCAGCTCACTGACTTTTGCTTTCTGTCAGTCCTTGCCCTAATCCCAGGGTGGTTTCCCTGCAGAGCTGCAGGGCTGTGCCCAGTTCCCCCCCTGCCACCCTGCCTCGTGCTCAGCAGTCAGGAGAGGTGAGAGAAGAGCCCCCGGCCTGACTGGGGGCTCCAGCTCCCCTTGAACGGTGCCACAGGCACTGAATGCACAGTTTGGCTCTGCTCTCAGCGTTATTCCTCCCCCAAACACCACCAAGCCCCGAGGCCGAGCCGTGCCCAGCCCGTTGTGCGGGTGCAGGGATGGGATCAGGATTGGGATCGGGAGGGAGGAGTGGGTTGGGAGTAGGTGGCAGTTCCTGCTCTCTGCTCCACCTCCTGCCTGGGGCAAAGTGCAGGGCCACAGCCCAGCCAGTAGCACGTTAAACCAGGGTAATTTAGCAGTTGCAATTTCCAGCACTAATTATTTCTGTAAAGCTTCTGAACCCAGTGGCATTTGTTGCACCTATTGCCTCCTCACCTCTTGCAGAATTTTTAGCTGAGAGAATTAAGAGATTGGTCATATCCACACGGAGATTAAAAAAGGAAACTATGATCCCTTTGTCAGTTCCTCTGATGATCTCTGGACATTGGCAGAGGGTTAGTCAGGGTTTGAAGGCGTGTAAAGCAGAAAGAAACATCAGCAGGTGTGTAGGAAACACTCCAAGAAAGATTCAGGCCCGGATACACAGCCCAGATATTGGGTCCCCAAGTTCTGCTTTATGCCAGCTCATTCTCCCTCTGGGACAGCTCAGTGGAACAATGTCAGGAATTGAACATTACCTGGTATGCCCAGGACTTGCTTTCCTGAAGTACAGTTCTGCTGTGGGGCTTCAGTGAGGACACGAACTCCTGAGCCTTGGATTTCAGTCACAAGGATGCACTAGAAAAGCACAAGAGGAGATTAGATCACCAGCAAAATTAAATTATTAAAAATGCCTAACTCTCAGTTCTAAGCATTATGGTGACAATCCGGCTGCATAAAACCCTTGCAAGTGGTTTAGAAAGTTACACATTCACATTCCAGAGGGTGATGCCTTTTTTGCATAGAGATTATATGTGTATTTGAGGAAATCTCAATCATAGCAACAAAATTCCATCTGCAATATAAATATCTGTCGTACTGTCACCTTGGAGGAAGCTCTGCATTTCACAGGGGTCAGGGATTGCTGAGACAATGATGTAGCACAAAGAGTAAATCTTCAAAGTCTGTCAGCTAAACACGGGATACAGAAAAAACTGAAGATGGGAATTTTCCAGCCCCTTCTGTGTTCGAGCACATTTTCCAGAGTTAAGGATTGAGCACAGATCTGAATGGGGCGTTTGGGCTGTCCTTAAATTCTGAGCTCCTCTGCCTGCCAGATTACGGGACCAACATCCAACCAGTCACTTCTACACTGCAAAACTGTTGGGTAATTCTTAAAGATAAAACATTTATTTGTGACAATACAAAATTCAACTACAGCTACATCCATTGCCAGGCTCCTGCTTACCCCAGTTCATGCTCTTGCCCCCCTGAGTTCTTCCCCCCATTTTTGTCCCTTCCTATCTGCCATGATATCTTGTTGACTCTACCTTAGAGTCACTGGGACCAGATCAGTTGGAAACATTTAGCAGTCCATGAACTGAGTTCTTGTCAAACCAGCCTCTGTTTTTTACATTTTTTACATTTACATTTGCAAATGTGTTTTTTCAGCAAACACAACATTTCTTGGGCAAGACATGATGTAAATATTGGCTGACAGTGTCCTAGCAGCAAAGCTGTGCAGATACTGGCCACATGAAGAAGTCTGCTGTATCTGGGCTAATAAAAGCAAAATACTGTTCCTTTCCCAGTCCCCATGCAAGGGCCATACTGCAAGAATAATGCTCCACTGCAGCCAGGAAAATCACACCAGTACTGTTGGCCAGGGTTGGAACAGCACTGTGTGCATGCAGCATGCATGGACTGTAAATTGATTTAATTTTGATGTCATGAGAATTAATTTGATAATGGTCCCTGATAGGGGAACATGAAGCTCAAGTCTGAGAAATAGATTCAAGAATCTGCTTTGTTTTGGGAAAGTGACACCTCTGACTTTAAAAAAGAGAGATTCATGGATTCTTGAGTTGATCAGCATAAAAAACCTTTGGAGCAAAGTCAAGTTCAGATTCGGGTGAAGCCGATGAAGTGCTGGAGCTCCAAAGGCTGGCCATGTCCTGGTTCTCGAGATGTTGGAGGGTGGCATTCCGGGGAGCTCAGCAGTGCTTTGGGAACATTCACCCGCTTTGGCCAAAGGGCCGGGAGGTCACTCACCTCCAGGTCAGCCCGTGACCCTTCTCCCTGCAGAGCAGACACCGGGTGGTCGCTGGGCTCAGAGAGGGGGGGCACCCGGTGCCCGAGCTGGGCCTAGTTAAACCACAGCTCAGAGTCGCAGCTCCTCCTTTCTGTCACTGTTTTAGGAAAGTTTTCCGTGCATCTGCTTCTCCATCCCACCACAGAGTGGCACTGCAGCAGTTGCCATCCGCCCCGGCCGGGGGGTGAAGGACTGGTGACAGCCAGGTCTGGGCTGCACTGAGTCACCACAACCACCCCCTGCTCACACCGTGACACCCCCGCACAGGGTTCACTTCTTTGCACTTGCAGGAGCCATTTGGGGGGAGTTTCCTGCTTTATGTCCACTGACAGTCTAAAACCTTTCCTTCTGCCCTCGTGCAGGACCCGCTACATAAACCACAAGGAGCACAGGGCTGGGTTCTGGAACACTGGAACTGGGTTAGACTCCCTTCTCCCAGAACAAACCCTGTGCTGGCAGGGCTGTCCGAGGCTGTGTTCAGCTGGCAAAGGCTGTCAGCTGGAATCACCTCAAAGTGATGGGGAAAAAAGTGATTTCTGAACTAATCAAACCCACGATACCTTTGTCCTTATTCATCTCCAGTTTCAAGGCTGTGAGGAGCTGCCTGCTGAGAAGAGCTGGCCAGCAGTCCCAGATTTATTGGCCGTTTTGAGCCAATGGTACATCCATTGGGAATTCACCCTCTTCCAGCTATCTTCACACAGGCCAGCTCCCCCGACCTGCATCCAGACATGTTCTATTGCCACAGCCAGGATTATCTCTTTGGCTTGGCCCACACACTCCTCTGTTGCCTCCCTCACCCCGATAGCTGAGACAGAGCTGGCTCCAGCAGTGCTGCTGCCCCAGCCAGCTGGCAAACCTCCTCCCTACCAGCCTGCACTTATCGTCTCCCTCTCGTCCAAGAACTGGTTGGGGATGATTTGTTGCCACTGAAGTGCTGCTGCTCCCAGCAGCTGCCTGTCCTGTCTGGCAGCTGGGGCCAGGTCTCCTCGAAGTGTGGTGCTGGCAGGGCTTGGCTCGGGGACCCCAGCCAGGCACAAGTGGTGCTCCCAGACCTAGTCCCTCTGCAGGCACTGGAAAATAGCCCCCAACTGCTGGGGGGGAAAGCAGTAGTGTGAGAACTAAAGGAACTAACAAGGAAATGGAGTAAAGAGACAGAAAGGAGAAGCCAGACACTCTTGGGAAACTCTTATTACTGAAAATGCTCTAAAATCAGCGTGAGATAGAGAGAATGAAGGGACCAATGGAGCTCATTGACAAAAATGCCATACATCTCATGCCACATCACATCCTGCTCATGGGCGAGCTTGTTCTGAACAATACGAGCTCATCTTCGAATTCATCTGGAGAGGTCAGGCCAGGAGATGAGAAGGGGAAGAAAAGCTTTGGGGAAGCTCTGAGCTGGCATGAAAAGCTCTGGGCTGGCTGTCACTCATTATGCTTCAAAGCTCTTATTGGTGTTCACTTAGTTTTTAATTGGAATGAGAAAAGCAATATTGTTTTTGCTTGCTATTGCTTTGTTACACTTGCCATCTCACTTGATTCATGGTAATCCTTTTACCACAGCCATCTGCCAATTTGCAGGCAATTACTTGGCCGTGCTGAGCCACTCTGGTTGCAGGAGAATGTTAATCTGCACCATCTCTCCCGCTTCCCATCCACCCCAGCAATGGGTGCCCTTCCCCTGTCACTGCTGAACAGTTCCCAAAATGGACTGAAACTCAGGACCTACTGGACACGGCTTTGCTTTTGATGTATCAAGAATGCTTTATCCTTCCATTTTCAGGGATTAACCAGATCCTGGGATATATTATTCTGATATTTTATTTTTCTGATTTTTCTGTAAATGCACATTGTTTTGCTTGAATTGTTTTTTCCATATCATTACAGAGCAAGATGAAATTTCCAGAGCTTGAAGATAAAACGAATAATACTCTGGATATTTAAACTCATTCACTGTCCAGGCAGTTAATGAAAGTGCAGATCCACTCCTTAAGTTCAGGGCCAGCTGTGTATTCCCCTTCTCCCTTGTTTGGAGGGACAGGGTAGGACTTACATCCCTAGAGGAGTGGGAAAGACGTTTTTGTCATATTTTTGTCATCAGCAGTTGAAGACTGCCAGGAATTGCATGGACCTTCTGAGTTTTCTCATATCAAAACGTGGCCCAGACTTTGCTGCTGCTGAAGCCGATGGGTTCCTCGTGAAGGGGCCCTCAGAGCTGGAGTGGTGAGGGCTGTGCTGTGCAGCAGGGCTGACATCTGGGGCTGAGCTGGGAGGGCCCAGCTTTGTCCTGTCAGCAAACTGCTCCTGCCATATGTGCCTGCATTCCTGCAGAACCAGAGAGCAAGGACAGCTGGGATCCAGTGTGGCCTGCAGAGCACACAGCCACCTCTCCTGGGTTAGCTTTTGGAATTAAGCTGGTTGGGTACAGGAGGGTGCAAAACAGACTGGGTTAGTCCTCAGGAAACTCTGAAACTCTGGGGATATTGGAATAAATCCATCCTCAGCTGCATTCCCAGCCTGCACAAAGGGCTTGGGCACTTGAAGGGAGAAGGCAACTCCAGTTCAACCTGTGGGATAAACTGAATTCATTAGTTAATTGTGTGTGCTTCTAACGGGGTGAGTTCTGTTCCAAGCACTGTCCAGAGACGCTGCCTGGGATGGGAGGGGAGCAGGAATCCTTCCAGCCTCCCACCAGCACTGGCCAGGGCTTATGTTCCCCAAAGCATTTCAGGCCCTGATGCAGCCACTGCTCACCCTGAGCACAGGGAGTGCAGCAGGCAGGAGTGCTGGCACATCAGGGATTACTGGCACATCAGGGCTGTCTGAATGGCTTAACAGGCCTAATGCCACACAAACCTCCTGCTCCTTGGAACCTCTGAGTCCTACACAGAGGCACATTATGGGATTGTCAGTGTTAGAGGGGGAAGAAAGGAAACAGCAAAGGCTTTCCAGCTGGCATATTCAAATGCTCTGCATCTTGCTCTGAGACCTGTGCAGGTCAACTTCAGCTCATCACAGATCCCTCATCCAAGTGCTGCTCCAGATAACATGAAGTCATTAAGTTTACCCTGCAATGAGCCTAAACAAGGGAACAGTCTTAAAATCCCATGTCTGTATGCCTGCAATCAGAACTTACTTAAACATATTAACCTTAAATACAGAAACAAGGCACAAAGTTGGACCCTGCTGCCTTCAGCCTTCCCCAGAGAGCCTCCCAGAGCCCCGAGGGGTGACACTCAGAGAGCAGCTGGCTCAGGCCAGGCTGTGTCCTGCTGCTCACACCACCACTCACAAATCAGCTGGCTGCAAAGCCAAGCACCACATAGAGACCATAAGGCAAAGACTCAACAGACAGTAAAGAACAATGCAGACAGAGAAAATTAATGCCCTCAGTCACCAGAGGCTCCCCCCACCTTGAAGAGGACCCCAAATGGACCATGGGGCCGTGCAGCCCTGCTTGTGGTGTAGCTGTGCTGAGGGAACCCCCTGGCACAGGGGAACAGCCAGGCCTTTGAGAACCTGCTCTGTGTTCTTCAGGCTCACA